TTTTCATTCGCAGATAAGGATCAACGTATAGAAGCTCACTATTAAAGGTGGAAAAAATTTCGAACTTATGTTTTCCTGTCAGATCCAAGTAACACGAATTTACAACGACTTTTCTTCACAACGTCCTGCTTTGTTATTATGCAGCCTTCACAACTTATTATTGAGGGACTAAGAAACGTCAGTTTTACGGTTTGGAGTTATTTACCTGCGTATGCATGCGTGTGCAGTCGACTGTGCATGCAGCGGAACCATCTGTCTAAATGAGCCTCACCAAGCTGATCTGCGACTGCTTGTGTAGATGATAAAAATAATAAATACTTATATACGAATGAGACAGATAAAGAAAGTTGTTTATGTACGCATGAATACGCACAAATAAGAAAAGATTATTTAAATATATAAACATCTTGAGACAGTGTTGGAGCGAAGATCATGCCGAAACACTCCTGCTGCTCCGATACAATAATGTACAATGGAGAGACGACAAAAGCGTGATAGACAGGTAGGCAATGGGGGTTAAGGGTACAGACAAACACACGGGTGTAGGCGTATTTATCATTATCACCATAATTTTGACATCATTTACATTAGAAGTTCCGTCTGGAAGCAAATATGTTTTGTCTCGTAGAATTGAATACCGACGAAGCCTGTTGTTACTCATTACGATTAAGTAATGAATGTATGTCAACCGAACTACTACTGCCAGGTTTTATGGAAGCTGTGTAAGTTTGTCGCTAGCAATAGAGGACAGCTGAAGGAGCAAGCTTGGTGATGGTCGAATCGTCATTTTCGGTTTTCCGGTTCCGCTGAGTGTCTGCTGGCCGAATTGAACTCCGACTGGCTTTAGCTTCCCTTTGTGTGTTGCCAACCCCCAAGCTATTCTCTTATCCCACTCCTTTACCTTTCTGGTCCTTCCACTTTATATCTGGGGTTCTCTCTGGCATTGGAACGTTAGAATGCTCGTTTCCTCCCTGAACTTTTCCGACTGCAGTCCACCTACAAGACTGTTCTTGTTTGCTAATTAAAAACTTCACTCATTTTGAGCAATTTAGCGTGTTTGTTTTTTTCTGTGCTGTTAGCTGGCCAGTTCGCGCACAATGTAGTGCTGATGGGATGCGTACGCTTTGCCTTGATATACGCAAACACCGGTGGCTGCTAAGAACCTGCATTAGTACCGAGCAGCGACTCGACTCGGGCCATCCCTCTAATCATAAACTGTTGTAGTCATAGCTGTAATCATGGTTGTTTTCAGCAGGCAGCGGCCGTTCCTAATGCTCTATGTGATAATGCCTAGGGCTTATATCCCTACCAAGAAGCAATGCCTGCCGGATTTGGTGGCTCTCGTATATTTCTAACCGCAAAACACAATAGTGGTTATGCACAGTAAAAGGGGTATCTGTTCTGTTGTTATCATATGAATTGTTGGCACGGCTAGAGGCAGGGACCGAAGTGGGGCTTAACGATTCTAAGGTTGAAACCTTGACCCCCCCCCCCCCCTTAAGAGTGGGAACTGCACAAAACAGCGCGCGGGTGACACACCATGAGCGCGAACAGTGGAACCAAGTCAAGTCGTTGGCAAGAACGCATACAAACGACCGTTGGGCGGAGGGTTGTCGACTCGCCATAGAATAGGGCAAATGGAACGCACCCTGCTTTGTCGGACGTCAAACCCTCATCCTCGGCAAGGTCCTTTCAACTATCCTACAACTCCTTTTCCTCACCTATGTGTGGTGCCCTTCTCCCGTTGACCGCGAGGGCGCAGTAGCTCCTTTCAGTGCCATGGACTTCGAAATAGACGTCCCCGTCTCCAAAGCTTTACTTGATGAGCATCGACAGGAACGGCCTCTCCCTATACTTTTGGCAGTTGCTTCGCTCTCTCTCGTCTCCCTATAGTCTGTTTTGCCTATTCTAGCGTGATTCAAAGCCTTAAGCCTCATGCGCTGACGGATATGATAGATGTTGCCATATTGTTGGCATTCCTATATAGTTTTGGTCACTAAGCATAGCCAGCTAGAGGCCGGACCATTGGTAGCCGTCGTCGTTCCGAGCGTTCATCGAATAATACGAAACGCTTTGAAATCTTCCATTCGTTTGTACTGTCGATACTCAAAAGTCCAGCCGGTGGGCGTCTACAGTAACGGCAAGAGGATAAAACGCTGTGATGCATCCGTCCAAGAGCGTTAATGTGTGCGCGACACGTAGTTAGCGTCCAATGCGGAACGGTTGCACCGGTTTGTTGCATAGTAGTAACGCTGATGGTAGTGATTTGTTCTCGCCGTAGTAGCGTCTTTACGCGTTATCCACGGTACGGGCACCGTATCCACGATGACAGCGGTCGCCATCATAATTGCCGTACTACTTCCAGGAATCGTGCAGTAAAAAAAAAAAGGAACTCGTGAGTGTGCGTAGCAGAAATGCATGACGTTTTACACTTTACTTAACGTCGTCTCACAACGGATGGCGGTCCTTGCAAGAATAACCGGCGTCGCCCCTTCCTTGAAGGCTTCCACTACTAATAGCTGTATGGTTTGTAAATGGTTTTTCTCTATAGTGGCCGCAGCTTCTCCCCGAGGCTGAGCTGTACGTAAGCCACACCCAGAAGAAAAATGTCAGCCAAATATAAGAAGAGAAGGAGACACCGAGGGTTGGAGAAACCGAGATAAACTGAATAGTAGAACAGAACCGTCATCTGGGGAAGGACGCAGGGTGTTCAGTAACGTGTGTGCCCTGCTGCCGCTGCCAGTGTGTCTGGCAGCTGGCGGGCGGGAAAGGGGAGGTTATAGCGTCTGTGTAACAGCATTTAGCCAATGGATGATAATGCTAAACACGCGCAAAGATCGTTCTTTTCCACCCCTTCTCTCTTTCTCTCTCTCTGTCTCTGTTTTCGCTCGTATTTTGATTCGGGTGTTGCCTGACGGTAGCGACTCGTGTGTGCGAACAACGTTAGGCGCGCTGCTGTCAGTAGCTTGCCCGTGTCGTCCATCGCCCCGTGCCGATCTGCTGGCAATGTCGAGGTGGCGTCACGCTGTTATACCACCGCCTCGTCGTGTGCATCGAGCTTCGTCGAAAGCTAACTCGAACGAACCGTGTTTTGGCTGCTGGGACAGACTTTAGGGGAGACTTCGCTCTCGTCTTCGGCAGTTCCTATTGCTCCAACTGGCCGCGCTCGTTAGTTGCCTTTACCCAGCTGCCTCGGCGTCACCCACCACTACCGTCTACCAGCTCTGATTCCTGCGACGTCGCCAACTGAGCCAGCAAACACGTAGAAGAGGGTGATATATGAATGGAGCTAAGCAAAGCGGTAAAAACACGAAACGAGAGCAGTATTGCTGTTTGCAATGCGACGGGTTCAGAAGCTTCCACTACGTTCCTGCCCTCGCCGCCGTCCTGCAGCCGCCAGCAGCAGCGGTTAAACTGGTGTGGACGGCCGACTTGTGCGGCGCCCGGCATCAGAATCAGGAGGGCCGATCCGGCACAATGTTTTTAGCTTTCTTTTGGAATCGCTGATTTTGACCCCACTACGGTCGGCCGTACCACAACAGTAGACGGAGTCGTCGCCAGCATCGGAGCGGCGCCGACAACGACAGCACCACAACCATTCCCGTGGCGGAAAGGCCATTGCGTGCCGCCATTGGACATGCGTTAGCCCAAATCAGTATCGCTTCTGAATTGCGCTGCCGCGACTTTTCTGCACCGTCGAGCTGCCGTCGTCGTGTTGTCGGCTGGTTCCTCCTTTTACCTCCATCCCCAGTCCGGCCGACGAGGCAATTGTGATCGATAAGATGTGGAGAAAACAAATTGGGTAGCAATGGGGTCGACAACAACATATAAATCAACAATAACGAAGTCCAAATGAAAGTAATACGTTAGCTGAAGGGTAGCGGCAAGTGGTTCATCGTGACTTTCGTCTTTCAATAGTTGACTTCATCTAATTAATAACATAACATTATTCGTTTTATTGACAAATTCGGCCCTTCTACTCGATAATAAAAACAGTACAGCGCGTCAGTTTTGTTAATAGTATTGAGATCATGGTGTACGCAGAAAAAAAGTCACTTGTACATCTGCAGCTGAAACTGAACGAACGTTATACAGTGTTACACTGGCACACGTATTCCTACGGGCGGAATGGGCCGTTTTCTAATTTCAGTTATGGGGGTCGCAGCGATCATCAAAAGCAACCATATCGAAGAGACGGGTCCAGCTGTCTTGAGCGGGCTTAGATATACATTCCATACAGTATAAGTTCACTAATACGGCTCAATCTAGGTCCCATCAGGTGAAAGATTGTTTTCGTAATTTTTTTCGCTCCACACTAGTAGTGATAGATGGATACCACGAACACAAAAAACACAGCTGCTAGCAAAAGTCCTTGTTTCGTTGCCCTCTCGCTCGGTATCTTGCTTTGTATCTAAATCATATCCTAGATACACAAAATTCTTTTACTTTACAAGGTAATATGACTATGAAACTATTCTACAATATAGGCGTAAAGTTGATTGACTAGCTTTTCTAAATCGCTTTTACCTAGCTCGTTCCCGCGCATGCTGCTCTTCCTTCCGTCAGATTCAACCCCTTCCCTGTTAAGTTCACCAGTTATTTGGCTAGTAATCATTGCTTTATATTTCCTTTATAGAACTATGCTTCGAACTATCATATCTAAACCACGAATTTTTTTATTGCTAATATAATTCTATCTTCATCTTCCATATAACGAATGAGTAACTCTTCAAAATAGTTTCCAATCCGCTACTCTAATATATTTTTATTTACTTTGTTGCTAGCTATTTTTGCTCGGTTTCTTTTGTTCAACTGTATTTGTTCATTATTTACTTCTGTTTTCTCTAATTCATTGTTGCTTTTGAATAGTGCCCTTAATACCGGGCTCATTTTTCCTTCCAAAGGGACACCCGGATTTCGTGTAGCCAATGGCCGATAACCGTTTTCGCAGGAAGCCGCTTAGCCAGAGCAAAAAGAAAAACAAATTGTTGGATACTCACCCATCACGATATTTTCCAATGTTCGCTTTAATTTGGATGACCTATTATGGTTATTATCGTTATGATCGGCTTCGCGCCTCGTAGATCTCTGCAGTTATAGAGGACAGTAGCTAAAGGTCAGCTGACATCCGAAATTATGATCTGTGACTTCGTTTTCTTGCCATTGCAACTTCTCCTCTGCATTGCATTATCTCTTACTGGTTGGCCGTCTCGGGGACAGAAAACACGAAAATCACAGAGAAAAAAATAAAGGGACAATTCCTGTGTTATCGTCTACTCTTAATTGATAACTCGTCTACGTTTCATCGCAGTTGTCGTAAGCTATTGCGGACAACCGAACCACTTCAATTCGAGCAGTATACTGTACAATCAGGTTCTCCTTCGTTGTTTTTTTATTTCAATGCTTAAAGTTAGCGCCATTTTGAAAAGAAGTATGTAAAACGACTTTATGTTTTACTTCTCTCTATGAAATGTGTTGCTCTATTCTGCTTCGATTTCTATACAAAACCAGCCCGTAAAGAATACAGAAATCATGGTAAACGGGCATCTCTGCCAAAGGCACCCTATTTACGTGAACGATCGCGCTAGGGGCTTAGACGTTCCAAAGCCAACTGATTATAATTCTCTTATCGTCCCGGATTTACTATTGCTGTTGAGGTTTTTCTATGGGGCCACGCCGAAGGGTCTAATTGTTGCAATATAGACCACTATACGTAGATTCTACGTATATATTGCATACGTATAGTAACAGCTGTGCTCCGACAACTGCACGCACAACCGTACTTGTTTTTATCACTCCTTACGAGCACCGTCACTTGAACCCGCCTTAACGCTCATGCCACGGTAGTTACTTTTGATCTGATGATAAACTGCTCTACGATAAATGTATCAGCGCATGCTTGTTTATTCGAGTATGAATGCTCAATAGTTGACCATGATGAGAACCACATTTCTACACTACACTGCCTATTTGTTCACCATCTTGACCAGATAAAGCTCTGGGTTTCCATCATAGTGTATTCTACCTGCCTCCACAAATATCTAAAGCTATCGGTTCCCATCGACTCGTAAAGCTAGTGGTAAAAGTAAGTGTCTCACAATTCTGACCGTGAAATTAGCCCAACAAAGGACAACACGACTAACACGGAAAGCAGGAAGTTAGAAGGAGTTTACATTTATGTTAAAATCTACTACAGTAAACATTATTACCACTGTTACATTAACAGAACGAAGTAGTTATTTTGCCGCGCCGGCCGTGATCATGAAGACCAGCTACTGCTTCAGTATATCAAGATTATTGAGTATAGTTCCGCTGTCCACGCACTTAAATAGTATGTATGATAGTACGTACAATGCCACGTGCGTTGCTTGCGGCTGCCAGAACTGAATGGTATGTATAGTCTGTCCTACGTCACGGCCTGTTCGCAGCAATCGAGGAGGCTGTGGCGACATGGCAAGCTATCTTTTCTACAGTTCTAGCCTGTCTTACGGCTTACAATCTACATCAGCCTGTCCTATCGAGCCTAGCATTTAACCTTACTGGAAAAGGCCGAGGCCGATCCAACCACAGCATATAACCGATAGCATCCAGCACTTGGTTACTAATTACCTCTCCTTTCGTTCGCCCCTTTTTATTGGCATCTTTCACTACCGCGGACGTCATCACTATTAACACCGGCATTACTGTCGCGATTCAGCGCAAGCTAGATCAATTTAATTTGTTTTTCTTACTCTACGCCATAGCACACAAACTGTCTCAAGTGGCAATGGGTTACGAGCAGAAGATGGCTGGTAGTGGGTAATGTTGTAATACCCGCTCGTCTGCATGGACAGCCTTGTAAGGTATGCAATTATAGCGCCCTGAGATCCAGTTGGATACGCCATGGAATGAGCAACAACGTTGGAAAGCAACGGAGGTAGCATCGGCGCCGCTGGGGGCAGTAGGGCTAACGAAGGTACTCGTGATGGAACAAGTGCGTTGGCGGCGACAAACGGAGCAGTACAGCACGCCAATGCGGACAGCAAACCTTTTTCCCCGCAGCGGCTTTTAGGGCAGTATTTCTAGCAGCTACGCAAGAGCAACCATACGTACTACATCCGAACTTTGGCTGTGTATTGGCTGCAGGTAACCGGGAGTGACTGTTGCTGCAGCAGCCGGTGGAACACATATCTGTGTTGGGAGGAGCCGTAAGTGACCGACGTCGTGGCGCTGCCGGAAACGGTCAAAATGGTCCGCAAGTCGACCGGGGTCAGACCTAGTCACCCTCATATACATAGGAGTGGCTATGGGCGAATAGGTGATGGGGATGGACAGCAGCAGAAGTGCTAGCAAAATACCACTAGCGACAGCAGCCCTAATAACGTATTTCAGCTTTGACGTTCGCTTTAACGTACCCTTGTAACAAGCGCAAGTAGAGCTGAACCCGGTTCCCGAGCGAAGTAGCTAGCGTCTCGGCGTTGCATATCGCGTGTATGATAGTATCACGACAAGCTGTCGGGGAACATGGAAATTAGGGAATCATTGCACAGCCGCTGGAGAAAGCTGCAAGAAGCGAGGCAGTAAATAGGCGAGACTGGTCGCCCTTTGCCATGGGTGTCCCGTTACTATAAGTGATCCGCTGTGCAAAATTATACGGCACAATCATATCTCTGGTATGAAGACAAGGAAATCTGTGCCATTCCTGCCCGGGCAAATGGTCCACATCTGTCGGACAGTGTTATCTATTGTTTTAAGAAATAAAACGTTTTTTTACAAGAAAATGATCACCCTTAATGTTCAGAAGTTGAATCTTTCAGTCAATGATAGCTTCGTTTTATTGTCCTAAAAGTGCACGTCCTAAGTTAGGCTATGATTTCTCCAGTCAGCGTACTTGAAGTTGCATACTGCATTCAGGTACAACGTTAACGCAAAATATTGCGAATATTTTTTTAACCTAGTCGCACAAAGGCGGTGTAATAACCGTGCTTCTAAAGCAGTCACTTACAGGATGTAACGTATACATATAAGTTAATTAGACTCTGCGGCAACTTAGTTCGTTGAATGTCTCTTGCAAATAAACGATCAGTGCACTCTGTTTTACGTATGCTTGAAATCCCGTGTACCGTATGGTTTCAGGTTCGTCACACAAATCACTGCAGCGGACTTTTGTCTTCAAACAATTTGCAGCCAATCAACACTTTGTCAAACAATGCAGCCTTAAGACACCTTAGTTTATTTCCTTATGGTTCAACAAACTTTCGGTAAAATTAAAATAATCGTGAATAATTCCATCAACTTTTTGATCTAGAAACATAGTAATTATCAAGCTCTAATATTTGTGTTCTTTTCTTCATTCATATTTAAAATAGACATTTCTTTAATAGCAAAAACCATTCTTACCACCATATCAGAGAACATTAAGATCTTTGAAATACAGGTAAAAGCGAACCTGATAATAAAGTTTGTGACCTCGAATGCATTCTGTCACAAGAACTTAAGATGATATAGACTGCTAGGTTTTTCGTTTCGTTTTAAGACACACTGAGCGATTCACACTTAAAACAGGTAGTCCTTGAACAAGCGTACTTCTTACTTGGCTAGTTTAACTACTTACTGCAAACGAAATATCCAGGAGGTCGTACCGAAATCCCACACGTTTCAACCAATATTTTCCTACCAAAAATGTTCAAGTCTGTTTACGTATTTTTACATCTGTTCGACGTGAACAACGTTCCGAAAACGCATTTTATTGTCGAGGTAACTTAGACAATTACTGCAGATATCGTATAGATTAAAGTTAAGCATCTGCTATGGAAAATTTTTCACGAGAATTTACGATATATGAGTCAACTCTGATTCTGCTCAAGTGTAAGTTTAGGGTGCCGATACCTCGAATTATTTCATTCGAGTCCCGATAAAGATAGACCCTATCTATCAAGCTTGAGGTGATGTGCGGCCCCCGGTGACAGCGGCAGGCTGGCCGAAGCAGAACGAACGCCCACCGTTTCAGTGTCAAAAATAGCTTACATGCAGGTCTATCGTTTAAGTATAAATTGCAAATCCGATAACAAAGAGTACGCTGTTAGCCCGGTTGATCTCATGATTATTTCTGACTAACTTAGCTCCTGTTCTACTTGCACTTGATGGATAAATCGAAAATGGTTGAGCCCATCTGTTTATGAACATAAATGATCGAATAATCCAAACGTTAACAAAATTTATATAAAATGTTTCAGTAAAAATCTAGTAGAAAAGGTGGTCATGAACGTTAGCTCAATAGAGGACGAAATTTACAGTTATCTAATGTAACCGCCGGTTTTTTAGCTCCTACTTTTCTTTTTGCCGATCAAGTCATATGAGCGATTGTCCGTTTCGCCCAGCTTGATATCGTCAGGTGGCAAAGCCGTTTGTGGGTTCTACGTGTCGTCGGCTTTTCGTCTTGTCTGGACTTACCTCCACGTCCTACCTTAATGTCTATCTGGCTAGTTTCCCTAAGGGTAGCCACGCAAACACCCAGTAGCGAGAAGATAGAAGTCTACGCCGCTAGCGGTTCTGTATGGCACGCGTTTGCTCCAAACACTGTGTATGAGGCTACTTCATAGGATATTCGCCTTCCCACCCTCGTTCACACTCACACGCGCTGCTGAATTTTTCGAGATTTCTCTCACAAATGTTGGTTTGCAACCCTGCCGGCGGCTTACTGCAAAGCCGTGAGGAGTGAACACCGGCAGTGGGGTTTGCCTGCTGTCTCCGTCCCGTGGAGAGCCAGCAGCAGCTGACATGGAACACCCTGGTCGCAATGTTACTAGTTCGCTAGTTTAGCTGAGAAATGGCAAACAACTTTTCTAAGAGACGGACCAATGCCACGGCCGTTCCTTTCTTCCGCGTTATAGTAGTGGATGTGAATGCTGATGCATCGTGCTATCCTCCTGGGGCTACACACGAGTAGTATGCTACATTCTGCGCTCGCCGTCAAACGCAAACGGGATAGAGTAGCTAGACGAAACGGCGCCTCTGGTCTTTGCTTCGATCTCTATGACTTTGCTGCTGCTGCCACCTCCCTTCATTGGTCGAGTCGGTTTGTTGGTCGTACAGCTGCCAGAGCTACGCGAAGTGCAAAGGGTTAGCGGAACGGGCCGTGAGGGGACGAGAGGGAGTACCGCAATCAATTCTCGACCCAGTCGACCTGCCACTGCTGTAGCTCTAACGCGGCATAGAACGCGCCACCATTCTATTTTCAACGGGAACGTCCTGACCGCACAAATCACTACCATTTTGCCACGGGCACCCGCCGACCAAGCGAGCCTATATCGTCAAAACACTCGATGTGAGCTTGGTGGATAGCTGTAGCGTTCGTTCTTCTCAGCTT